AATAACATACCGGTTAAAGCCCCACCCATTTAAAGACAACCCGACCCACTTCCAGGTCAAACCCCGCCCACTTCCGGGTTAGGCCCCGCCCATTCCGAGTACAGATACAGATACACATAATTCATATGGTTAACAGATACGGATACAGATACAGATAATGCTGTACTCGCTCATCCCTACTAACTATGAATTATTTCTAATAACTACTAGTTCATTACTCGTCAAATGAACAGTGGTTTTTTTTGTACTAACTGGGACATGGTAGAAATGGCAGAAAGGCGGACCACAGCATGAGATTTATTCGGTTTCCCACTTGGAAAAGAGGATATGGACAGCAGGTAGAGGAGGTAACGAAGAGGCGTCGGGTGGCCTGGGTCGAATCGGGGAGATCGAAAGAGATCACTTTCAACACGATATCTCCCTTACTGTGTGTTTGCTCTCGGCATTTTCATAAAGGCAACACTTACAGATTAACCCACGTAGTGAGGCTAGCTTGCTAGCGTAGGTTAACTATCGTGAAAATATCAACTTTAGAAGACAAAAAATGCATATTCATTAATATAAAAAACTTCTTAGTTGCCTTTATGAAAATGCCGAGAGCCGAGATTCATTAATTACTAATGAGTTACAATTAGTTTTATTTGGGTCATTATTAAGACTTCATTCCTTATTTAAAATGCATACATTAATTTCTTAATGTTTAGAAAAGATCAACAATATGTGGTGGAGCACATCATGTGTCAAAATACGAGTCTCTGATTGACCATCCCTTCAGTTGGACTTCAAAGCACAGTTTGAAGAACACTGGCACACAGACTGAAGTGAGGTAAACAATTAAAATGTAGGTACTGTATACATATTTTAGGCAGTAACTTTTTGTATAATAAGTTGTATGTCATACAAACAAGTAGGAAGAAACAAGCCTGTTTTTCCAAAAGGAAAATGCCAAAAACCGTACCGAAACAGTAGCATATACGTCCCAGTTAGTCCAAAAAAAGCACTGTTCATTTGACGAGTAATGAACTAGTAGTTATTAGAAATAATCCATAGTTAGTAGATAATTCCCAATGAGACCTGCAATACTCAATAGTTCCTAATGAAGTACTAGCGAACTACTATAATAATTAGTTCACTATTACCTATTGAGTAATTAAGTAGTGAATAGTAGCCTACTAATTTAGATGTTAATGAAGCATTACTCATTTGTTGCTGCTTAGTTCCTGCATATTTACCTGTTAACTACGGAACTATTATAAAGTGTTACCAATTACATTTTAGACGCTGCTCACTGGTGAGTTGTGCGATTTTTAGAACAGGTCTGCGGGCGACTCATGTGGTCCTTCTGGGCATCCTGGTGCCCGCAGGCACCATGCTGGTGACCCCTGATCTAGATTGTTTTGGTTTCCCAGAAATATCAGTCTTCTCTGGAATATAATGAGTGTCGTGATTAAAATGCCAAAAATACATATTTGAGAAAATCAACAGCAATGAAAAGCTGTTTCATGTAGGAACTATTTTCTTTCCACCGAACTCCACACACAAACCGCATCATTGCGCAGAAGTTAGCGCTGGCCGGGATGGGACGATCTCTGACTTTGCTGCAAATAAATATCTAGATTATTGATGATTTATAAACCCAACCCTAGTTTTATATTGATTGTTAATGCTTCTTATCATTAGTTAGCTGGGTAGATTGGTTTAAATAGGCAATCATTTGTGGGTCTAGAATGGATTAAATTCATTTACATTATTTCTTATGGGGAAATTCGATTTAGACCTCAAACAAATCCGATCTCAACCACCCTTCTGGAATGAATTAAATCTGTGTTCTAAGGTACCACTGTATAAGTGAATTTAAAGAGGTCACTGTGTATTTTATATGTTAATTTGAAGGAGTGCCAGGATTTCCTGCTTAGACAGATAGCCTGTTGGATTTAAGGTATCCCACTTTAAATGGACTGTATCTTTTGTTTGCTTACATTTTGCCCAGACTACCTGAAATCCCAAATTTATCCGACTAAGCAAGAAATCCTGGTTTGTGATACAGGGCCCAGGGGCATTGCAAGGATCTTAAGACATTTGGGGATTAGCCCAGAGCCTAGAGAGAGGTGGTTCTCAAACTGAGGGCATAGTTATTATTAAAACATCAGAGCTAAACTTTTTGTCATTAGCTTATAGTTACATGGATACAAAATACTGCTGCATTCCCAGTCCCAGCTGTGAGAGAGAGACCCAGTAACATATAACTTAATGCTGACAATTTTTTGTTTTGCAGCTGATGCTGACTGAACACCTGTTATATTCGGGATGCTAATAACCCAATTAGTCATTTTGCATGTTGATTTCTGTCTTTTCTACAAACGAGTTAAACAAATCACTGGGTTAGAGGCTGACCTACTGCATGACTTATGAATCAGGTTGATCACCTCCAGAACTGTCCACTCTGTCTAGCTGTGTTATCTAACTGGTCAGCCTCATCTGAATATTAAAATTACCAGATTCCAATTTAGTTTTTAAAAATGTTTTCTTTCTTTGCTTTCACAGCTGCTGATGACTGTCTTCAGCTCCATCCTCCCAGAGTGGTGGTGAGACATGGAGACCCAGTATCAGTGAACTGTACAGTGTCCACAAATCACATTGGGATGGGCTGGGCAGCTTCAGTAGATGACGTACCTATTACAACTGGTGTCCAGTTTCTCACTTGGAGGGTGGAAAGTCTGACAATCTGGGACTTAGGGCCTCTGTGCTATGCAAACCGTCCAGGAAAACCTCAATGTATGGAACGTCTCTCAGTCACTGTGTACAGTAAGTGTGTCTCTTCTGATGGAGCTACTGCAGCTGTCAGCTCTCATACACCTGGGAAATATTCAACCTGAGCATCACCTTAAAACATCAGTAAAACCCAGCAGAATATTTCACTGTAAGGCATGGATGTCTCTGTGTGTCTCTGTTCCTATAAGGCACAGCTGTCTCATGTGTGAGTTATTTTTTAAGAAATAATGCTTCTCATTTTCCCTCACAGAACCCCCAGACAGTGTTTCTGTCAGTTCTGTGAACTCTACTGACTCCATGGTGGAGGGGAGTCAGTACCATCTGAAGTGTGAGATCCAGAACATCGCTCCTGTTCAGAACCTCACTGTGAAGTGGTACAAAGGGGACACATTAGTACATGAAGACAGAGACTATGTCATAAAAGTCAAAAAGCCTGAAAGAGAAAAGGCACCTGTAAGTGTGTCCTCCATCCTCCTGATCACTGCCAACAGAACTGCTAACAGAACCGATGATAACGTACAGTACAGTTGTGGGGCAGAACTGGACCTGGGACCAGAAGGACCACAACCCCCACTTGCAGTGAAATCAACACCCCTCAGGGTCACTGTGCACTGTGAGTACTGCCTATGCATAAAATTTTGCACATCTTTTAAGTTGTGTCACCAATGATCTTTGCTTCTTGTGGACGTGGATAGTTAATTTACATTTGGATTATTTAGGTGGCACTTTTGTGCAAAGTAATCTGCAAATCAGGCAAATGTAGTTCACTGATATAATTCATATTAAATATAATTCTTGTGTTCTTCCATGATCTTCCACTTATTGTTAACATTGTGATTAATACTGTGGCTTTTTACATGGAGATTTCTGAGGCATCAGCTACATTATAAGGAGACTCTGCTCATGGTTCCTTGGCTGACTGTCACATACATGCTTGCTGGGGATTTACATTGCCTGAGATTTTGTACTGTCAGTAATACTGGGTTCTCTTCTCTTTACCAGATAAACCCACTATCAACCCAATAGTTACAGATCTTCATGTAATCCATGGGTATTCTGCTGTGTTAAACTGCAGCGCTAAAGGGAATCCTCCCCCGGATATTGTTTGGATCTTCAATGGCCGGCAATTACCAACAGAGGACAGCATTTACACCATCTCCAAGACAGATGATGAGGGAAATTATACCTGCAGGGCAAATAACTCTGTAGGGATCCATGAGGAAACAGTGCGGGTGATTGTTACAGGTATGACACTTGCATAAACACCTGTCATGACTTCCTTTCTCTCTGCTCCACTTCCTCTATCACCTGCTTCTCTCTCTTACTTTCATTGAAATAACTATGGATTTGTTAGCTGAATATTCACCATAATTCTCCAGTATATTCTCTGGCGTATAAACCCAAAGTGAAGTTAACTTTAGGTTTAGGTGAGCAGCGTCTAAAATGTAATTGGTAACACTTTATAATAGTTCCGTAGTTAACAGGTAAATATGCAGGAACTAAGCAGCAACAAATGAGTAACTTTAGGTCTCAAAATAATAATTCTGTGTTAATATGCACTAATAAATTACTTGCTTGTAAGCAATATAATCAACATTAAATTATTACTTCTGCAGTTCGCCGGGTATATATCTCTAAAAGCAAAGTTATTTCAGACACAGTGAGAGTAGTCTGCTTCTTACGTTTTTGTTTTGCACTGTATATTCTGTACTGTGCAAAAGTCTTTAGTTAAAGAAAATTATTTTTACATGATCTTCTTGTTGTAAAACTATGATATTACATGTCAAACTATACAATATACCCACAAATATGTCAACTTGACCACCAGCATATAGTGTTTGACTAATAAATGCCTCATCAGATTATTTAACTGATTCAATGAATTACATGAGCTGGTGGTGAAATGGTTTGAGAGCCTAAGCTGTGTCGTCCTAGACTTCCAACAAAATATTTGTCACTTTTTGCAGAACAGATTAAACTATTGTTACTTTTTATTGCGTTACTTTTCATTTGTACATATTCTAATATCAGTTTTTATGAGCAACCTTCTACGCAAAGACATAGCCTTAAACTTTTTTGACATTTGGTTTTCAAATAACTATTTATTAAATAATAATCTACAAATTAATAAGTCTTTCTCCTTAAGAATAACGCTGGATTGTCGAGCTCTGGATGTGCATGACCTAATAATGGTTGTTTCTATTGTTTTTTTTTGTCTAATACAGAGAACTACATGCCGCTCATTGCTGGGATTTTGGTTGTGTTGGTGCTGGCCATCTCCTTGGCATTCTGTGTAATCTACTCCATCTACTACAAGAACAAAAAGATGGGCCACTACAGCCTGAAGAATGTCAAGCTTTGCACCCAAAATGGCAACGTGGCCCAGAATGGCAACAGCTTACCGATGACCAGGCTGCCAGAATAGAAATTCTGTGCTTAGAGCTTCCAAGGCCTGTTTCACTTCAGGTGGATTGTTCTCCACGGATCTGTGACAGACTGCACAGGACCTCACTGATACACTGCACTGGGTCTGAGACCGCAGCTTATGGTCTGTTCCTCCTGAGAGAGACCTGCTTCTGTTTTGTGACCTCCTTTCTTCTGAGCCTGTTTGCTAATTGTCCCACTGGCAAAGCGCTTTCCTGTCCCACCCTAACCTAGGGATTCTTATGTAGCAACTTAAAAGAGAAAACATTGGTTCTTAAGACAGAAGTGACGAACGGTGCATCGGGCGAGTTGTGGGCGGGGTCTGGATGGGGAGGCGGAGCAAGGGTTGAATGACGGATGAGCTGCTGCTGATGAGGCCTGTGGGCGGAGCTAAAGATGCAGCGGTGTGTAACACAAAGTTTTTTTTAAACTTTACGGAAATCCTATTAAAGGAAAGACCAAAGAAGGAAGGACGTGGGGAGGGTATTTAAACTGTTAAACACTTGCACATCACTCTTCCTGGTGACACCCTTTAGATTAAAACTTTATTCCATTTTTTTGTTGTTTTTGAGATGAAACCGCCTGTTATTTGAACTCAGGCCTCCTCATTATATGTTACATTATAGGGAATCAACACCAGTTCAGTGTTCATGTTATTCATCAAAGAACTTTTGTTAAATTTCAAAAGTTATGTATTCAAATAAATAGAATTATGTAAACTTCTGTTTTTGAACCCTATAGAGAAAATTACTTAACGTAAACCCTTTCAGTATAACATCCATTTATTAAAATTGTTAGCTATCTGGAAATAATCTACAAGGTAAGGACGATCCCGATCTTTCGAGAATATCTGTGATTACCTGTGAATAGTGTCCTCTCCTGCTTTATCCCGCCAAATAAAAATAAAACGAAGAAAATTCTGCTGTCTTCCATATTTCATTCCGTCAAAGTCGATCTTCGACAGGTATTTGATTGAATTTTCATTTGAATTGTGTTTCTCCGTAGTACTCCACAGTAACCAAACTAAAGTTCTGGGCATTTCTGTAGAGCTGAATAATACTGAATTTCTCTGAGGCGCGTCCGGTTGTTTTGGACAGGTGCATTGGTAGGGGCGTTTTCTTCCACTGTAAACATGAGATCCCATAGAGATAAAGGGGAATTAAGTGAAAGTTTTTTTTTTTTTTTTCCAGTGCAGTACCCAAGGAACCAAAAGTTACCCAAAACTGCATTTTACTGCTCTTACAGCAACAAGAAGAAACAACTTTGAATCACAACAATTTGCTGAGAATATACCATACTTATCATACTTGAAAGGTGTACAAAATATTTTTTCCTCCTCGATGCATAAGAACATAAAATAGTACTTTTATCCTATTAAAAATTGCATGCCTATATGTAAACATGTACCCCCCCCCACCACACACACAGACACACACACACACACACACACACAGTCCAGTCCTAATTAAGGCAGGGTCAGTGTTTTTTTCTGTTCTACAATTGACAGACCATTTTTCAAACGGAAACTACGTGCATTGTTTTCAACATCAGGGGAGAAAGATCTTTCAGTCCTGGAGTCTAAATGCTGTGTAAGGTAACTGGTCATCTAGCAACTGTTGTACTTCGCATTTCAAACTGGTTACAGTAGGAGTCAGCTGATCCACGGCTGAAGGAGTTTGCCATCAGTAGATGTAGGACGGATCATAGCTACCTGGTCTGAAGGCTGAATGTGCGGGGATGCTGCAGTGCTCATTCGCAGTGCTCATTTGCAGTGCTCATTTGCAGTGCTGTGTGGGCCCTCTCGCAGCGGCTTGCAATATGCAGGGCTTGCTGCACTGCACCCATCTCATGCACTTTTAACGCCGAGGCTGGAACCACAGTGGCAGAATTTTTTCACCTTCTACTGCATCGCAGGTGTAATTGGGAAAAGCTTTGCACACACGATGAGTGATATCTGCACTAAACACATCCTAACTTTTATCCGGCTTATGGGGGTGAGCGTTAACAAGTGTTTGGAAGAATGGTAGAGTGTATTTTGGCCCAAAAAACTCCCCCAGGTTTCTCCTTTGCAGAATCATAGTTGCTCTGGGTGGAGGGAGGCAGGCTATCCCAGTACAGAAAGGCAGAATCCACTAAGCGGGTAGGGAGGGCAGAGGCCATTACTGCACTTAAATCAGCATCAGATGGAATCATAGCCTGTAATGCCACCTCAAACCGTCAACATCAACTTTTGGAAGGTTTGGTCCCATCACCATTAAAGGCAGGTGGAAGATCAATTTTAGGGCACCAGAGACAGTATGTGAAACTAATGGGGTGGCACCAGTCATCACATCCGGCCGTCAGAGGTCAGAGGTCGTCACCGGCCTCTGTACAGGTTGAGGTTAATTGGAGTTCCCAAATTGCCCATAGGTGTGCAGGTGTCAGTGACTGGTGTGTGAGTGTGCCCTGTGATGGGTTGGTGCCCCATCCTGTGCTGTTCCGTACCTTGCACCTATAGCCCCCAGGATAGGCTCTGGACCCCTGAGACCCTCAGTAGGATAAGCAGTTACAGAAAATAGATGGAGTCACTTCTTGACATGTCGTGGCGTCTGATTGTACCAAACAGGAAAGATCCCCAGCGATGGAACAAGCAGGTAGCTAAATGTCCCTCATTCCTCTTCCTTACCTGCCCCACATCTGCAGTTTCTTAAGCTGGTTCTTACTCCTCTTCTGCTTACAGGTGTCATGGTTGGTGCCCATCCATCCTTGTACTATGTGTTTTGTCCTCGTTTGGTCAGCAGGTGTTGCTGGCCACCCTAGTCCTTCCTCTGTTTTGTATCCCTTAGCCCTAGTGTGTGTTTCCCGTGTAGCTCAATGGGTTAAGCGGGTGGTTCAGAGGCTGGCCGAAGGAACATCCTCACCTGTTATTTAACGTTTTCTGTTTCATAGTATCTGTTATTATTTATCTTTG